TACAGTATCAGACACAAGAGTTGCACTGCCCTAAAAATCCTTTGTGCTCCACTTATTCGTTCTCCCCCCGAAACCTGGACCCCCTCCCCGCCAAGATGTCCACTGGTCTGTTTATTAATGTTACTATCTCCGTAATTTTGCCTTTTCCATACTGTCGTCTCGTTGGAATCATGCAGTAATGGTAGCCTTCTCAGGTTGGCTTCTTTCACTTAGTAACTTGCATTCGCGCTTCCTCCATGTCAAAAGATTAGTTAGCGTGTTTCTTTTTAGCACTGATTAATATTCCACTGTGTGGCTGTACCACCGTTTATCCATTCACCTGCTGAAGGACAGCTTGGTTGCTTCCAGGTTTTGTCAGTTATGAATAAACTTGTGTGCCAGATTTTGTGTGGACATGTTTTCCTCTCATTGGGGTAAATACCAAGGAGTGTGAATGCTCCATCTTTGTTCAGGTTCGTGAACTCCCCTCCTCCTTTCTCTATTCTCTGACTTAAGTAGCTGCTGTCAGTCATTCTGCTCACGTCATTTTGGCAGAAGTAAAAAGGCAAAAGGATGCCCTCTGTTTTTAGAAGAAAGACTTAGATTTGGTGAGTAGAAACACCGGTTCCCTCTTTAAAGGAGGCCAGCGTGGGAAGTACCCCTAGCTTGGAGTATCTCCACCACTCCCGCCCAGCCCCCGAGTTCAACACCCTTTACACTTGGGAGGGTGTTTTTTAAAAAAATTTAACTTACTCTTGTTTGTTTGTCACATCTGATTTGATAGATAGGCCCAGCCTATGGGTCAGGTTTTCCTGGGTTTCTTCAAGCCTTTGAATTGTCCTTTGAGGTGTAACCTTGGGATCTTTGGTAAATTTGTTTTGTTTCTTGGAGGTATAGAGGGGACAAAGAGACTCCTTGTGCACCTTTAGAGTGGCTGTTTTGTTTATAGTTTTGCACACTTTATTTCCTTGGATTACTCTGGTAAGTGATCCTATAGGCCACCTCCCCTGCTTAATACTCTGCTACTTCTTAGACTTAATGTAACAGATGGCATTGCTTTTAAATAACTCATTGTGATATTGAAAGTAAATTATTATTGAACTTGTCAGAAACTAAAAGTATAGATTTAAATGTCATTGTAGCTACCAAGGACCAGTTTTAAAAGTTTCCAGTCTTTCATGGACTGAGACTTTTGTAAAATCAATAAAAATGAATTTTCAGAGCAATGAATTGAAAAAAGACTAAATATAAGCCCCTTTTTTGAATTATTAGGTTTGACATATATAAAATTATTTTGTGAAATTGCCATAAACATTTTAACTTTAGTACTTAACTAGTGAGAGGCAGGCAAACAATGTTGGCCTGTGAATAGTGCTAGCTTAGATCACCTTCCTCTGCAGGTGCCTTCTGGGGCTCTGCACACGTGTAGATCCAATGCCAGAGTTTCTAGCATGTAGTAGGCACTCAACTAAATGTAGCTACATTATTTAATCACAGCAACCCTTTGAGGTTGATGGCATTATTAAGAAATAAGCTTGGCGGGGGGTGGTAAAGTGACTTACCCAACTTCCTGTAGCAAATTGTTGTGATAGGCAGAATGACCCCGCCCCCCACAAGATGTCCCCTGGAACCTGTTAATATGCAGTGTTGCATGGGAAAGGGAAAAGGGGTTTTGCAGACGTAGTTAAGGTTACAGATCTTAAAATAGGGAGATTACGTAGATTACCAGGGTGGGCCCTGTCTAATCACATGAGCCCTTAAAAGCAGAAAACTTTCTCAGACTAGAGTCAGAGATTTGAAATGTGTTGCTAGAAGGGGCCACATGGAAAGGAATGTGGGTAGCGAGGAGCAAATCTGGATCCCGGCTAACAGCTGGTAAGGAAGTGGGTACCCCAGTCCTGCAATTGCAGGGAACTGATTGTGGCCAACTTGCTTTTGGCCTTGGACCCTAAGCAGAGGACCTAGTCGAGTCCACGTGGACTTGTGAGGTAATGCATTTTTGTGTTTTGCACTGCTAAATTTGCAGTCATTTGTTACGGCGGCACTGTATGACAGTGGCAGAGCTGGGGTTCAGATTCAGGTTGAGCTGGCCCACGAACCTGGCATACAGTGGACGATCAAGTACTTCTTCAGTGACGTCTGTCCAGTAAAGGAGAGTTTGAGGTTTTGATATCAGCAAGAAAGCGTTTGCCATTGGGGAAGACAGGCTTTTGTAAGCACAGGGTATCGCACAGGGCACCGTGTTTGGTAGGGCTCACGGGAAAGATTGGTTTGCATTCCATCCCTGGAGTCCAGCCTAGGAGAGCATTGTTAAATCAGTTTGATGAGTAGTGACCACCAGCATTAAAAAAAGAGGAGAAATAGAAAATACCAGTCTGTGTCATAGGTAAGAGTTGCGTGAGTGGGTGCAGGCCCCTGTGGGGTCCCCCAGTGTGAGTTTCTCCCTGACAAAAGCCTTGCCAGGCGCCAGTGGGGAGGTGCTGGTGAAGTGGGTGAGTAGTTTTATAAATCATACTTGGAGTGATTTTATGGATTTCCCTGTTTCTCCTTGTCCACATGGTGTGGTATTTCATTCCTTTATGCTCATTGTGGATTATGCTCTTTGTCCTTACATTCTGTTTCTTCACCTCGGTGCATGAAAAGGAAAACCTTAGTGGCCGTATTATGCCATTTTGAGCGTTCTTCAGAGTTGTCAGTGCCAGCTTTCCTCTGGATTGCAGCCTGTGGTCCTAGGGCGGCTGCTGGGAGTCTTGTGTCACTCCCTTTGCCCTTCTGCGCAGGGTGTCTTTGTCATTTCTGTGGTGGACTTAGCTCTGTCTCCACAGTGCACGTCAAGTCCTGGCTAATGACGTTCTTGCTTACTTCTCACGCGTGTGTCTTTGGCTCTTCAGCACCTTAAAGTGTTCTCTGTCCTGGAGAAGGCTTCACTGAAGAAAGCTTTCACATTTCCAGTATCTGGTGATACTTTCAGCCCATTCCCTTTTGTCTTATTTCAGTTTTCCCTCTTGGTATGTCCTACTGAAGCTGAATGCCTGCTGTGTCGGGCATCGTGACAGGTGACACAGGCACCATGGGCAGCCTCAGTCCTGACAGATGGGGAGT